ACATATGCTCAGAATTTAAAATGAATAAGATTAAGCCAAAGGAAGTCAGAAACCACTAGTTTAGTGAGAATTTTCATAAAAACTGAAAATATGGCTAATTTTATAATTACTATGGAACCTTGGAGTTTTCCATAATTATATTTCACCACAATATTAGTTGGGAAAGCCAGGGAAAACATTTATGAATTAAAATAAAGCAACATATTGATGAAATAAAGATCATCTAAATAAATGCAAAGATATACCATCTTCATAGATCAGAAGATTCAGTGCATTTAAGATCTCAATTCTCCACTGAGTGACAGATCCCACATAATCCCAGCAGACTGTGTATATGATAATATATCACAAAATTATATACAAAGATATAAAAAAATGAATACATGCAAAAACTGATGAAATCTGACTAAGGCTTAGTTAATTGTATTGTGCCAATTAATTTCCCCATTTTGATAATGTACTGTAGGTATATAAAGATATCACCATTGGGGTAAGCTGGGTGTTGGGTATGTGAGACTTCTTTTACTCTTTCTGCAATGAATTTACAATTACTTATCTCAAAACTTAAAATCCCAGTAGGCTTTTATATTTAACTTGAAAAGCTGATTCAAAAATTGGTATGGAAAAGCAAAGGACCTAAAATAACTAAAACCATTTTGAAAAGGTAGAACAGAATCGAAGGACTCACTCTGCCTCATTTCAAGACTTTTTATGAAACAGTAAACAAGACAATGAGGTATTGGTGAAAGTACAGATATGCAGCTCAAAAGAACAAGAGTCCAGAATATACTCACATGTGTACTGTCAAGTGATTTCCATCAAGAGTGCTGAGGCAATTCATTCATGATTCATTTATACAAAGCTCTAATAGAGCTTTCATGGTGACAGAAATGGGAACAGTAATTGTGGGTGGGTGGTATTTATGACTGGCTGGGAAGCAGCATGTATTAATCTGTTCTCATGCTACTAATAAAGACATACACAAGACTGGGTAACATAATGGAAAGAGGTTTAATTGACTCTCAATCCCACTGGCTGGGGAGGCCTTCCAATCATGGTGTATGTTAGCATACAGGCAAAAGAAGAGAAGATTCTTTGAGCAAGGGAAGGTAGATGATTTATACACAAAGAACTTTTATAATCTCAACTTTCTAAGAGCTTAAACAAAATTAATGTCTTATTTGAACATATCTAAATTTATGGTCAAATTTAAAAATCTTCTACAGAGTTTAAGGGCTAAGGTAGGCAGTACATTACTACATCAGGAAACCAAACCTATAATCAGGTCAAGGCAGTTGGAACTCAGAAACGTGGCATCTTCCAGAATAAAAAGACTGTTAAAAAAAAAAAAAAAAAAAAAAAAACTAAAGCAGAAAAGAAACACAATTTCTGTACATAAAAAGGTGGTATGAAAAAATAAATAAAAATAAAACATGATTTCATCTCTTGAATCGAATGCCTTTTTTGTATTGGTGAAGAAAGTCCTCTTCCTAAAAGGGCTTTGTATTAAAACAAAAACAAAATAAAAGTCATATATGATAGCCTTCTGATATATTCACTAGTCAGTCACTAGGGGTCTTTAGTTCAAAATGACAGAGTATCTTCACACGCATGTAAGTTATGAACATTACTTAATATGCCAAAGATACATTAAGCCTACAGATTTTAGATTTAAGACCTAATAATAATCCATTACATTTAACTCATTCAGTATCCACTATTGCCAGAACTCTAAGTCAAGCCCAATGCCACCTCCTCTGCAAGGCCTGCTCTGATTTCTCCCAGTCAGAAACAACCATCTCCTTTCTCTAAATTCACACAGTTATGGTTTGTTTCTCTCATGTTGGTTCATTTATTCATTTCACAAACATGCATTAAGAATCTAATATGGGTCAGCTACTGGGGATACAGCAATGAACAAAGCCAAATCACCAGTTTCCTGGATGTACACTCTAGTGGGGAGAGACAGGCAATAAACAAATAAACACATGGTGATACATGCCATAATGAAAAGTTAAGAGCCAAAGTGAATTTTTTGTGAAGCTAACAAAACTTAAAGTTCAGGCCCCTTCACTTGCATGGCCCTCTGTGAGTGCTGAGAGTTGCTGGGACATGTAGAGTATTCCAGGTGGAGCCAGGGAGCCAGGTAGTTATCAGAAGGCGTTTTTTTGTGAGCATATCTGATTAAATGCCTAAAGAAATCTCAAAAGAAAGGGGCCTAAGGTTACAGTATTTTGTTGGGATATCTTTTCTCATTCTAAAGCTTCACTTTCATACCCTTTTTAAAAAAATTCTGGTTTGTTTTTTTAATGAGGGTCCTCAAAACTGCATAAACTTCAGGTCCCATAAAACCTGGATCCATCCCTGATTTGTATCCTTGAAAGTGGTGGGAAAAGTGCTGTTTTTTGTAGGGTGGTAAGGAACAGCCTCCTTATAAGGTGGCATTTGAACTGAGACTTAAAAGGAAGAAGCAAACTAAACAGATACTTTGCGGGGAAGAGTAGATTTTAGGCAGAGACAGCAAGCTAAAAACCCCGAGGCAGAGCATGAGGTACAGAGTAGGTTAGAAGGACAGCAGCAGAAGAAATATATAATAACAAATACTACTAGGCACTAACAGCAATTAACAATGACTACACTATTATGTGTCAGGTACTGTCCCAAGCACTTTTCCAAGCAACTCCATTTTACAACTGAGGAAACTGAGACAGACAGAGAGGAATTAAGTAATTGGCCCAAGGACAAAGAACTAGTGGGTGGTGAAACTAGGCAGCCTGGCTCCAGAACCCTGTTCTCAAATCACTATGCTGTTCTACAGAGAGGCCAGTTGTGCAATTATGGGGTATCTAGAAAATCTCTCAGCCATCGAGAGATTTACTATGATATAAATGAGAAAACCAACAAGATTTTGATCTCAAACTATGATGGCTAACAGCAGGTACACATTTTATGTTCCCCGTAAATATCAAGTATCAAGTCTTGTCATTTCTGCTATTCTACTCACAGTCCCTAACACATTTCCTCTCATACTACACACCTCAATGTATGGTGGCTGTTCAATGTACTCTCATGAGAGAACTTAATATTCATTCTCAATACAAAATGATGCATTAGATATGTTTCACAAATAAATACATACACAGATCAAAGGTTGGAGGTAAGTACCACCTTTAAGAAATCAGATCTGTATCAAAGTCAGATAACCTGTTTGTTTGCTTTTCAAACATTCTAGCAAAATTATCTGCTATCTGTTCCATTGTCACTTTTCATCTCAAACAGCTACTGATGATAGGAAATTCTACTTTAATCAACTTTAAATGATCTTTCTGAAGTTTAGGGCCATTTCTTCTGGTCTCTCTAGACTCTATCCTAAATGGAAGTAAATAAAAGTGAGCGTAACTCCAAATAACAATGTTTGAGCTTCTTTCAAATGTTCTTTTCTAAATGCTTAAGGTCTTCATCAGTCAGGTTTAAGAATTGAGTTTTTCAGAAAGGTTCTCACAAATGCTGATTATAATGGAAGAATTAGCCTTTGATAATATTAAGTAGAACACCTTGAAAAACGCCTAATTACAAATAAACTAACACATAATTCTCTAAATGCATACAAATTGGTTTCCTGATTTTACTGCCCAATCCTCACCTTTTTTCCTGCCAGCCTTCACAGACACTTAAATCTATTTACATAGACTATCATTTGAATGCTACCTGGAAGCTTAGCAACACTGCAGCCTGTGCTTCAGAGTGAATGGCTTCCAAACACACATAGATAAAACGAATCAGTATCAACCTTTCAAAACATGTTCTTCAAGACACTAAGACTAAGGACAAGCAATATGTATTAAAGAGAAAAAGAATCTCATAGTTTTTCTCATCAAGGGCCTATGATGGTAATACCACCTCCACAACAAAACAGCTCTGACAGGTGGATTCCACAAGGTCACAGAGCTAATAAATCCGATTGTCCACATCCTCATTCAGTGCCTTTTAACTACACCATGCCACCTTAAGTACAATAAATATGTTATTACGCTGAGTAGGAAACCATTTTCAAAATAAAAATCTCCACCAACCTTCCAAGAATGACTATAATCAGGTCTCTTATTATTAAAGCAAAGTTTATCAGGTTTCTTTACCATAGGACTTCTCAGTCTTTAACCTAATCATCGTATGGCTTTTCCTGAAGCACCCCAACTACTTTGGAAAAATGCCTGTGTACAGAATTTGGCTAATGCCTAAAAAGTCCAGTCCAGAAGTCACTAAAGATGACTCTAAGGCTTAAAGCCTAGAGTCTTTGTGTTTGTAGTGTTGGGACAGGCTAGGAATCGTTCACAGGGACCAGACTAAAACCTTAAGACCAGATAAGATATTTCCTTAGATACATATTAAAACTATTCCTTCGGCAGGGCACCGTGGCTCAAGGCTGTAATCCCAGCAATTTGGGAGGCCAAGGCGGGCAGATCATGAGGTCAAGAGATCAAGACCATCCTGGCCAACGTGGTGAAACCCCGTCTCTACTAAAAATACAAAAAAAATTAGCTGGGCTTGGTGGTGTGCGCCTGTAGTCCCTGCTACTGGGGAGGCTGAGGCAAGAGAATTGCTTGAACCGGGAGGTGGAAGTTGCAGTGAGCCGAGATTGTGCCACTGCACTCCAGCCTGGAGCCTGGTGACAGAGTGAGACTCTGTCTCAAAAAAAAAAACAAAAAAAAATTATTCCTTCAAAATAATTGCTCTTTTGCCTTATCCTAACTCCAGCTTTACTATCTCCTGCATCTTTCTAGCAATGTATCTAGATAAACATAAGGACATAAAGACTTAAAGGGGGGTAATAATAAAAATTAAGTTGGAAAACTGCCTGAGAAAAGATGGCACAATGCATGTGAAAATCATATTATATGTTGATCATGTGATCTATTATAACAGAACTATCTAATTTCCCCAAGAAAACTTTTTCAAACAGCAAACCCTGTGGATTTTTTCTTTTCATTTTTTTTGGATCATGAAGTTCTTAAGAATGCAATGAATACCATAAGCCATCTCCACAGAAAAACACAAATACATATAACATTAAGCCTATTAACTTCAGAGCACTTTATGGGCCTCCTGAGGCCCAACCAAAGAGCTCTAGTTGTCAGCTCCTAGGTCCCTAAGTAACCCAAGCTGCAGACACTTCATGACAGATAAAGCCTGCAGTTACAGGACACTTACAAGATATGACTTTTTTCAGACAGTGCAGATAAGATGTATATATGCATTGGCCTGAAAAAAATAAAAATAACTTAATTACTGAGTAAAATTTGAGTCATTTATCCAAGACCAAAAGCAGAAGGGCCTATGATGGTAATACTACCTCCACAACAAAACAGCTCTGAGAGGCTGATTCTTCAAGATCACAGAGCTAATAAATCCCAGATTGTCCACATCCCCATTCAGTGCCTTTTAACTATACCATGCCACCTTAAGTACATTACACTGAATAGGAAACCGTTTTCAAAATAAAAATCTCCACCAACCTTCCAAGAATGACTGTAATCAGGTCTCTTATTTATTTAATCCAATCATTCCATTTTTACCACCTAAATGCTGACAAATTAAGGAATATAGATAGATAGATAGATAGATAGATAGATAGATAGATAGATAGGCTTTTGAAAACCAATGTACTTCTCTAATGCGGTTAATTTGTATAAGAAAACTCTAAAACAGCAAAACAAATAAAAATATGTAACTTTATAGCATAAACTTGATCATAGACAAAAATACAAATAAAAGGGGGATCTGATGCCAAAAACTACATGAAATTTCTCTGCTTTGGTCACTGGTATTGGAAGAGTATGGCAGGCAGGGCCCAAGCATCTTTTTATCTGATGTCCACTTGACAATGGACAAAAGCAGTGAGGCCTGGCGGCACAGCAGGAGTTAGAGTACTTAAAGAGCTACACTAACTCAAATGTGGCTACAACTCAAATGCTAAACTGTGTGCCTCAGTTTTTCCACTGAAAATGTAATACATTATCTGCCCATCTCTTGTCTTTAGAGAGGCAGTACTGTCTATTGGTTAAGAATACAGTCTCTAACTGGTTCAAATTTTGGCTTTACCACCTACCAACTCTGGCAAGTTAATCTCCTTGTGCCTCAGTTTGTTCAACTACAAAATGTAGTTAACAACAGTACCTATCTCACAGTTTTGCTGTTTAGAAAAATCTTACAGAGCCTGGTAAGTAATAAGCATTCCATAAACAACAGCTAGTATTACCATTATTGTAAATGAATGAAAAGATTCACCAACTTACTATACTTCTATCATGGAGGAAATTACAGGCCCTAATTTTTTTATTTTTTAATCATGTGACTTAACTACTTTTTTAAAATATAGTAAGTACACAGCCAATTATTCCTGCAAAAAATTTACTGTATACCCTGCCACCTAAAACTTATACATTCATCAAGTTTTAGTTAACTTTTCATCAGAATATAAGTGAACTTGCCCAACCAGCCATAAGCAGCTTGCATCCAGCCACTTCTGCTTCACAGTCATCACCATATGCCTTAACACCATTATTCTTACCTTGACTATCACAATGGCCTCCCAACTGCTCTTCCCCTCCATTCCACTCTTCAGGCTGTAGAAGGGAGATCTTTTAAAAACCTAAATCTAATTTCACTCCCCTGGTTAAAAACCTGCAGTGGTACCCGACTGTCCTAAAGAAGTCCAATCTCCTAATGAGAACTGACAGGCCTGCAAGATCTAGGGCCATCCTTCCTCTCTGGATACTCAGACTACACAGGCCTTCTTTCAAACCAGGCCTCAGAGCCTTCACATATCATGCTCCCCTATCTGGCATAATTCTCTCTCCCCAGTACACCTCGGATCTCAGCTAAAAGGGATGAGCCTCTGACACCCCAAACAGAATCAGGTCCTGGTTATTACATGCTTTCATAACTCTGATCCTTACACTCTTCTCTGTAGCACAAAATGAAACTGCAATAAGATAATTATGTAAATGGCTGTTTAATACTGTCCTTGTCCAAAAAAACAGAAACCCCTAGTAAGATTTGGAACCAAGTCTATCGTTTACTGCTAAAACCAAAGTGCTTACTTGCCCAGTATCTCATACATTGTAGGTGTGCTCAATATACCTGCCTAGTCGAAAAAGTGATGAGATCCATGATAGGGAAAAGCAAATCATCCACAAAACAAGACTAAAGCAGAACATTAGCTGCACTGGATTAAATATGTAAGTTAACATAGGCATTACACTGAAGAGTAAAAACCTACTGCTTAAACATGGGCAAAATAAAGTTAAGACTAAACTTGCCAATGCAAAATTAAGTTTCTTTGTGCATCCTCAGGTGTTATGTGAAACAGGAGGAGTTCAACTTCAGTTACCAGTAAGAAGATACACAACTAAATCAAGACTGCTGCCACATTTGGCACCAACCTCCTCTCTTCTTGGCAGTAACTGCGAGGCCAAGAGTTGAGTTGGCCAGGGAAGAGTGATTTATCCTCCCACATTTAGAAGTGGTCCCTCTACAACAGGAATGCTGTAATGCTAATGGACTTTGAATTCTAACCTTGTCAAATCAGTACCTTACCTAAGTATTCAGTCACTTTTTTAAAAAACAACTTTAAATGGCATCGAATTAAACAAAGTTGCTTTTTCAAAAAAAAAAAAAAGAAAGAAAGAAAAGAAAAGAAGGCAAGCTTTTACACACACAAAAAGTCATTACTTAGAAAATTAGAAGAAAATGATAGGGGGATGATAAGACGCTAAAGGCTGAGAGCAGTCGATGGAAGATGGAGGTCGCCCAGCATAGTATAATAACTACCACCAAGGCCTGGTGAGCAGCAGCTCCCAACCTAGAGCCGACAATCCCAGGAGCAGGCAGGTTTGACAACGCCAGACCCCCGATGTCCGGTTCGTCGCGCTGACCCTGCCAATGCAACAAACGCCCCAGACCCTCTCTGCACTGTGATGAGCAGAGTGGCCCGCTCTCGTTCTGCCCTTCCCTGGAAATGCGCGCAAGAGAGGAGGTGGCAAAAACCACGTCCACCGGAGGGCTCAGGTAAGGGGTGGGGAGGTCTCGGGGTAACACATTTGGCCCTTTGTTCACCAAGGCAGCAGAGCCCTCGGCGGCCGCGGCTCCTCCTCCCCCACTGCTCCCAGGCGCCAGCGTCTCCCGAGGACAGGCGGCGCGGGCTCGGGCGTCCAGGCTTGGCGGCGGGTCGGGACCCCACGGCCTCGGCGGTGCGCGGCCCCTGCCTTTACCTTGTAGACGTCGCCGTAGGTGCCGCTGCCGATGCGCTGAATCAGCTCGAAGTCCTCCTGCGGGTTCCGGCGGGACAGATCGAAGCCGGGGTTCATGGCGGGCCCCAGGTCCCCCCAGCCTCCCTCCCGGGCAGGGGAGGGAGGGCGCACTCAGGGGCCACACGGAGAGAGGGCGCCGCGGCCGGCCCCCGGCTCTCCAGGCGGTCACAATCGCCCGACTCCACGCTGCTGCGGCCGCCGCCGCCGCCGCCGCTCTCCTCACACCGCTGCGGACAACTGCGAACGGTCCAACCGTCCCCGCCCCTCGCTGCCCGCCGCCGCGCCGAACTCGGTCACACCCACAAGGAGAAGAGAACCCTTGCAGCCCCTCGCTCGGGGTGAAACTCCAACATGGCTTCCGCTTTCGCCGCTCCTCCCCCTCCCCCTCCCCTTACTCCGGCTCGTCCAACCTCCTCCCACTTTTCCCGACTCCCGCCCGACTGCGCAGCCGCGATCCCGGAGGTAGCGCTCCAGGCCTGGCGCGCACCCGAGCGGTTCGCGTTCCGGCTCCGCGCGCCTGCCTGGCCCGGCCGGCGGCGGAGCAGCTTGGGACACGAAAAGCCTCGGCTTTCCTGCGGCCCCGTGCCCAGCCGCTGCCGCCAGACTCTTGAGAAGGTTTGCCTGGCCCAGGGACCGTGGTTGGGACCGGCAGAAAGTGGCTTCTTTTCTTTTCTGATTCCCCTAACGACAAAGTTGGATCTTGCTCTATCTGGTCCCAGTTCCAAGCAGATAGCATAGTGGTCATTTACGAGACAGCCAGTGTCCCGAACTTTATTATTATTTCGGAAGCAGCAAAACATAGAATACCACCGAGTGCTACAGCTTTTCTGGGGTTGCAGGGAGGGGGTCACTAAACACACCGTGAGGAAAGCCCCCAGGAGAAGTGAGCTGTGCTTGCTCCTGTCCCCGACACTCGGACCCTTGGAGTTGGCCTGCCAGGGTGCAAAGGAGGGCAGGCCAGGAGGGCAGCCAGGGAGGCGTGTGTAGTAGGCAGCGCGTGGAAGCTCTAGGGGAAAACACGCGGAACAGCTGCCCACCATCCCGCGTGGGAGGCAGGCAGAGCACAGAACTAAAGCAGTGACTGACCTCCCTCTTTGAAGAGGGTTGGATAATCAAAGATGGGCTGGGACTGCACCGGCTGTCAAACAACCCTGCAAAGAAGGGGTGGAGGGTGAGAAGGGTGGACTAGATCCATTACCGCACCTAAAATATAAACACGTGACGATCCGGAAGCTCTTTGACGGTGACCTTACCTACCCAAAGCTCCACCCTGCTTAAGACCCAGATTGTGTGTCTTATCTCTAAACTCTGGACTCCAGCTCTGATTGTTAATACTTGCCCAAGAAAGATTGAGGGTAATGGAAGGTTATCTTTCTATTCCCAATAGACATTTTTTAGAGCTTTAATCAATTAGGGGATGGCCACTTTGGCAATACCACATTGGATTTTTGCTTCAGAAAAGCTTTCCTAATCCCCTTAGGCACCACACCTTCTAACCACTAATATTCCCTAATACCTCGTGGCTCCTGAGAAACTAGGTCTCATCAAACCTGTTAAGGATAAGTATAATCAAATAATAGTAGAGCAAACTACTTAGAGTTAACTGCTTTATACTTAAAAAAAAATCTTTTCAGTCCTTTTCCTTATAGCAAAACTTCGTATTTACTAAATTCTCAAATTGTTTACTTTGAGTATCTGTTGACTGAATTGATGTTTGAAAATGGTTATCTCTTCAACTATACAAGTAGCCTTTCAGTTCTGTAATTTTTAATTATTAAATAAAGCGCCAGTAATATGAAAATATCACTTAAATTATTGCCTTAGGAGTACCTATCATTGAATATCTTCTAGATGGATCTACCTTCAGACTTTGGTATCTTGAGAAACTCCTGACTATAAATGGTATTCCATAGCTAAGGATCTTGCTTTTGCCTGTTTAAGGTACTAGCCCAGGACCCAGACTGCAGGCCTTCCTTCTGTTTGTCCACATTTGGAGAAGTGTTTGGTATCTTTAGGCCAAATAGGATTCAGATAAGCAGATCTGACAAGCTGACCCAAATGGGAACCAATTCTGCTCTTTTTCTCTGCCTTTTTTTTTTTTTTTTTTTTGAGATGGAGTTTTGCTTTTGTCACCCAGACTGGAGTGCAATGGTGTGATCTTGGCTCACCACAACCTCCGCCTCCCAGGTTCAAGTGATTCTCCTGCCTCAGCCTCCTGGGATTACAGGCTTGTGCCACCATGCTCAGCTAATTTTTGTATTTTTAGTAGAGACAGGCTTTCTCCATGTTGGTCAGGGAGTCTCGAACCTCCGACCTCAGATAGTCCGCCCTCCCTGGCCTCCTAAAGCGCTGGGATTACAGGCATGAGCCACCGCACCTGGCCTCTCTGCCTTTTTAATGCTTAGGACTGAATGCTGTACAAGAAGGTTCTAATGGTTTCAGTGTTTTGTTTGCTGAGATTATCATCTGTGCAAATAACTTTGCATTTGCATCACTAATAGACTTCTTTCAAAAGGAAAAGACATTTCAGTAGGTCTGGAACAGTCTTTAAAGTTTTGTCTGTTCCATTTTGGCAGGACCACACTAGTTCTTTTGAGAAGAGATGAATCGTCATGTAAGAGCCTGATCTGCCACGTGGGTTACCACATAAGTAGAAAGGCTTTTGCAATTAACTGCTCACAAAGAAAATATTTTCTTCTTTGTAATATAGGCATGTGGCCAATTCCAGTGCCTTTTCCCCCTATACTAACAATCCTCAATTTTGCTAGAAGTAACACTAATGATCGCACTTTCCTAGAATCAGAGAATGAGTTCCCTCTTCTATGATTAGAAGCATTCTTAGAAGTCATCTAATCTTTTTAACTCAGGAACTGCTTCTACAGCATCTCTGCTGGATTTACTGCTGCTTGAATACTTTCAATAAAAGGTGACTCATTGCTTCCCAAAACAACCCACCTCGTTGTGATACACTGCTAGTGAATGATCATAATAACTAAGAGAAAAGTAGTAATTTCTAACATTGCTAAGTGCTTACAATATGCCAGGAATGGAGCCAAGTATTTTTCATGTATATTTCATTTAATTCACACAACAACCTGATGGCACAGGTAATATTATCTCCACTCTATGGGGCACAGACAGATTAAGCTGCTCAAGGTAACACTGAAGGCTCAAATTTGAACAAAGGCAGTATGACACCAAGGCCAGACTCTTAGCCACTAGTCTATACTCTGCTTATGTACAATATACTTTTTAAAAACTTCTCTTATGGTGGCCAGGCGTGGTGGCTCATGCCTGTAATCCCAGCACTTTGGGAGGCTGAGGTGGGTAGATCATGAGGTCTAGAGATCAAGACCATCCTGGCCAACATGGTGAAACCCTGTCTCTATTTAAAAAAAAAAAAATTAGCTGGGCATGGTGGCGTGCGCCTGTAGTCCCAGCTACTCAGGAGGCTGAGTCAGGAGAATTGCTTGAACCTGTGAGGCGGAGGTTGCAGGGAGCCAAGATCGCACCACTGCACTCCAGCCTGGCGCCTGGCGCCAGAGCGAGACTGTCTCAAAAAACAAACAAACAAAAACTGATGGTAAGCCAAAATCTGCCTCCCTGTAATGTATTTAGGGCAATGATTATTAGATTCTGGTGGTATTGAATGCAGACAAGAAGTCACAATGCCTGCCCTTAAGGATTTTGCAGTCTCATAAAATAGTGTGAAAAGTACAGAGAGGGGGTAGACAGAGGAAGATTTAGGAGTGACCCTAAAGCTGAACCTTGAAGAATGCATAGGAGTTAGCCAGACAGACGATGGAAAGTGGTACATACCAGGCTGACCACTCAGTGCCTTAAAGCACCTACCCATTTAAGTGTCATACAGCAAGGAACACAAAAAGGCCACGATGGGCAGCAGTCCCCACCTGCCAGCATATCCAGGCCATCCTTCTGTTGGCCCATCCCCCATGGGTTTCTGACTTAGGAACTTCTTGATTTCCTGCACAGACTCCCAATTTCACCCTCAGGACTTCTTGTCTGACAACTCACTGGAGTCCCTTCTTTGGCCGATTAACCTCAGCACTCCTTATTTAACATAACCACCACTCACATTTTCAGTACATCAGCTGCTCTGGAAACAAGATACTGAGCAAGCCTAAGCTCAAAAAAACACTACAAGCAGGACATCCACCAGAAGATTAGATGACTTCTAAGAATGCTTCTAATCGTAGAAGAGGGAAGCTCTTTCTGATGCTAGGAAAGTATATCATTAGTGTTACTTCTAGCAAAACTGAGGATTCTTAGAATGGAGGAAAATCACACAGAGACATGTATGTGAAATAATATAGCACATACAACAGACAACTGTGCCTAAATTCTAAAGACAGAGGGAGATGGGGGCAATGGGGCCAAAAAAGTCAGATTTCTTTTTTTTAATTAAAAAATTTTTATTTATGGCCAGGTGTGGTGGCTCATGTCTGTAATCCCAGAATTTTGGGAGGCCAAGACAGGCGGATCACCTGATATCAGGAGTTCGAGACCAGCCTGGCCAACATAGTGAAACCCCACCTCTACTTAAAAAATGCAGAAATTAGCCAGGAGTGATAGTGAGTGCCTGTAACTATTCGGGAAGCTGAGGCATGAGAATCACTTGAACCTGGGAGGCAGAGGTTGCAGTAAGCTGAGATTGCACCACTGCACTCCAGCCTCAGTGACACAGTGAGACTCTGTCTCAAAAAAATATTTATTTATGTATTTCAGTTCTCCCCAGCT